AGAGGCCCAGACCATTTCACAGTCTTGGCCGTGCTCAATAGACATGCATGGAATGGTGTCCTTGATCAAAAGAGCGACCCCTCCCCCTCTTGAGCCACGATCCCGTCGGAATACTTTGAAACCATGAGGAAAAACGTCATTATCAGGTATTTGATCGTGCAGCCAAGTTTCTGTTATAATCGCCACATCAGGGTTAAATGCCAATAAAACACCTTCAAGCTCTACCGCTTTATTGGCAACACTTCGAGCATTTAGGTTTAGGAACTTAAAGGGGCGGCAGAATCTTCCCCTTGCTTTGGCGTGGGATTCAAAGCACTGCGCTCGTTGCCAACCCTCAGTCGCCTAAGAATGGCCGGAAAGGGCAGCCCTTGGGCCACAAGTCGGGACAAACAAGTTTCTCGAAGTCCTCCTCGTTAACTAACACGTGAAACAAAGCATACGTATCATACCTAGCTGCCAGTTTAGTACAAGAGAAGCTCTGGCATCCTAGAGCACTAGACACAATTTCTGATAGTTGTCGCTGGTGGTTTCTGGATGCAATCGGGAAACAAAAAGAGCCTTCTTCCTAGGAGGCTTGGCCACCACACGCAACTTACTGGCCTTTGCCGAACTGACGGAAGCCTTGACTCGTCGGCGTGGCATGACTTGTTGGAAGCCATCTTCATTCACAACTGAGGAGACCGCCCTCTTGGAGCAGTCAGCACCCATGTGTCCTCGCTGATCTGAGATCGGTGGCATGCCCAAATCTTCACCACTTGAATTGCGACGAATGTCGGGTAGGCCCCGACGCCGCTCGTCATTCGGAGGATGTCTCGCACCTCTCGTGGATAACACATGCCGGTGACGTTCACCCCCCAGCAGACGCTCGGAAGCCTCGGAGGCAATGGGCCAACTTGTGGTCGCCGAACAGAAGGATGCATTGGGTTGCAGCGCTTTAGAGTAAGATGGTGCAGGCTCACTCTGCCAAGCTTGGGCCTGACCAGGTTCTTCAGCAGCAAGGCATCTCCGAAGCAGTTCACTGTTCCACACCAAATGCGTTCGCAGAGATTCGTTCTCAGCTCGTAAGGACCGCACCTCCTCGGACAGACCATTGATCTTGCAGCAGAGCTCTTGGACCAGCTTGTGAAGACTACAACTTTCCGACGGCGATTCTCTTGGTTGCCCATCGCTATCCCAAGCCGACGTAGCCGACGGCGCGATTCTTACTATCGACGCCTTTTCACCCCGACGTTTAGTGCAGGAATCGCACTTGAAGGCGCAAACACCATTCGTCACAAGCAGGTCAAAGTCAGCGTCAAGAACATTGACGCATTCACGATGAAAGCTACGAGCACACGCGCCCGAGCAAACGATAAAGCGCTGCCGTGATATCGGAGCAGAACAGATACCGCACATGCCCTTCATTCTTGAGCGCCAGCGAAAGAATGACGGGCATGTGCGGTATCTGTTCTGCTCTGATATTTATTTGCTAAGGTAAACAACCTGTCAGATCAAGAATTAAATTATTGTCTATCTTTGGTTCAGGCATGGTGCATAAAATGGAATATGGTTCTAAACTGTAAAAAGTCCGTTCAAATGGCCGTGACGCAGAAAAACAACCCTTTGTTTTTTCCATATTCTATCAATGGAGTACCACTCGAGACTGTTAAACAATATCAATACCTCGGAGTTTTAATTACCTCTGACTTGTCATAGAGTGCACATATTGAGTTTATAGCTCGTAAAGCAATGCAGAAGCTCTGGTTTTTGAAACGAAATATTAACCTGTGTTCACCTGAACCTAAACTGACTGCTTATAAAACCATCGTAAGACCACATCTAGAATATGCATGTGATGTATGGGACCCTCATACAAAGCTGTCAATTGATATGTTAGAGACTGTGCAAAAAAAAGCATTACGGTTTGTGTACAACCATTATGGTTTTTTGTCATCCGTTTCAAATTTGTACCCAAGATCGGGATTGAGTGATTTAGCAACCCGAAGAAAAACAGAACGGCTGAAGTTTCTTTATAATATGATACAAGGTAATTTGCGACTGCGTCTCTGTGATTACATTTCATTTAACGAAACAAGGCCCACGAGAGGTAAACACCAATTCAAACTTGTCGAACCACTTTGTTCAAAGCATCCTTTTTTCCTAGAACCACGTGTGAGTGGAATAAGCTTCTTGAAAGTGTTGTAAATTTGAGATCATTAGATACTTTTAGTGAAGCACTACTCTCGCACTTTGTTGAGTAGTGGCTCTGTCTGTTTGTTTTTACAACTTCCGTCTGCTTTTGAATATTGTTTTTGTACACCTCCTGCCTGGGCGTTCTACAGAATGCTGGCAGTATCACCAAATAAATAAATAAATAATAAATAAATAAAATATAGGCGGGCAATAGCTCACCTTGAAAATACTTGCTCTAGGTGGCCGAGAACAAACTCGTGTTGCTGATTGGCAGCCATTTGATGCGAAGAATACCTGCACATACCCTAAAGAACCCAGTCTTACCCCCGAATTCAGGAAGGTTCCTTTCCTTAGATCAGCGCCTTTCCTTTCGTAAGTGGCCACACTTACGAATCATGAATCATCCTTACCTTAGATTGGCTCCTTTACTCAAAGGTTTCCTTAGACGTTTCCTTACGAACGAAGGAAGCGACGTAGCTACCTTCGATGCTTCCTTTCCTTTTCTACCTCCAACATGGCGACGTTTCGGGAGCTCGATGATTACGATGATTTTGAAAGTGTCGTTGATTATTGGTGTGGGGCAGCAGAATTATGCAACGGAGAAATCTACCCGGTCCCACCTATCGTGCGTCCTCCGCTCAGGGATCGGCGAAACCCTATGGAGGTTTACAGTGTTCGGGAATTCTCGGCACGCTATCGCTTCTCCAAAACGACGGTGCGAGAACTGTTGTGCCTTTTGTGCATTCGTCCGAGCACCGACGATTGCGGGAAGCCTCTCTCGCCTATGCTCAGGGATCCGCTTACCCCGCAGGGTAGAACGCCGTGCATGCCACACCAACCCTCCTGGTTGACGTAGTGGGGAAGGGAGGTCTCGTTCGGACAGCCCACTTGCGTAGATGCCTCGGGGCCCCGCCATGCCGGTTCGAGCGCGTGCATGGCTGGTGGCGGCGGCACAGTTCCGCTCGGCATGAATATCTTCCTCGATGAGGCAGGCAACCCAGGCTAGCTTTTCAAAAGTCTCAAAGGTGCGGCTGATGAGGTAGACGTGGTATCTTGGGTGGTACTGTTTTCTGACCTGAGCTACTCTGTCCGACTCTGGTGAATTCAGGTCAGCCCTTTTGAACAGGGTGCTACGTTCTTGCCTTAAGCTCTCGGAGAATCTGCGTTTCGTAGCCTGCACGCAGGAACTCTTCTTAAAGCCTTGTCTGGAAGTCCGCCAGGCTGGCTTTGCATCGCCGCTGCACCACCCTTCACTGCTACTACACTTTTCTGAACTCGCACTGAACTAGTTCGGAACTTTCTGGTGGAATCAAACAGACCTAATGTTAACTTGATACTTGATAGTGTTATTTCCTCATATACTCCCAACTGAAAAATCCTATTGGTACCGGCTGGGTCTGTGGAGAAAATAATCGGGAACCAATTGGAACCAGTTACAATCAGAACTCATGTTAATGCTTAGTTTTTGTTAAAGTTGATTTTTTTTTTTATTAGAAGAATGTTGCCAGCTGGAACCAACTAAATCACATTGGTTCCAGTTAATACCGTTTGGAATTCCAAGTGGGTTTAAAGGGAAGTTTTTACTGAGTACACACTTTTCACACATGCACAGACGACTGCGCCACTGCAATGCGGGATCGGCGCCTCTCCGATTTCACTAGTGCAACCTATGGTTCTCGATAGCAATGGTTTTCGCGTAACACTAGATACCTGAATCGGACACTACCGATATGCAGCTGCCAGCACGTTAAATAAACCCTGAAACGAACAGAACACGAGGCGAAGTTAAAACAGAAAGCTCTAAACACAATTTCCTCTCGATACAGGGTTTATGACGTCAAGCTTAAACCAGCTCACACGGACTCCTCATTCAACGTAGTTCTGAAAAGCAAACTCACCTGTTGCAATGCTGTCTCTGTTGTCAGACGATACCTCCTTTTTCCATTTTGTTTTTAAGTTGTCCCAGCACTTCTTGAACTGTTTAGAATCGCGTGCTCGGACCCCGTGGTTACTATTGTATTCGATTGTGAGGAGCTCCCACGCCTTCGCCCTTGCCTCTGTCGACGACTTGTTTGTACATCGGTTCTCGATGACTGGGTACTTCGGCACCAGCTCCGCGAGAAGAAACTTCTCATTTTCAGAGAAAAATACTTTCTTCGGCTCCGCCATGGCTCTCAACGTAAATAAAAAATTCAAAGCACAAACGAGACTGGAAAAAAAGCAAGAAAAGCAGCAGGAAAAGCAATGATGAGAAGGGATCGACCAGCAAGAATACAGAACGCGACGCCGAGCTGCGCTGTGCGTTGCCAGACGAGACGACAATACTGTCAAAATCCGCTAAACATTCACGTCTTTAAATTATTAGAATCGTATTTTAACGTACATCGAACTCTATAACACATTACACTACAAATAATTGATATTGTAGTTTTTCTCAGCACTGATTTTAGAGTACTAACAATAAAATGTACAGCAGTCTCGACCCCAGACGTGCTCATAGTATCCTTGGACGACGAAGGAGCCTTTCGTCTGCTCCTTACGTAAAGAAAGGGCGAGACGCGTTTCTGACACGAAACGGCTTCTTTCCTTTCCTTTTCCCATTTCCTTTCCTTACGTAAGGTAAGGAAAGGCGGAAAGTGAAGTGGCGTTCTTGAATTCGGGCGTTAGTCTAACCACGGCCGGTCTCGACGCGCGCGCTCGCTCTTTCCTAAGGCCTGTGCAAGAGGGGCATTTGCTGCCTATCGCCGCAACTCTCCGGGGGCGCTGCGAGCCAACCCCGCTCCGCTCGACGGGAGCCGCTGAAATGTTCGCTAGACGTAGCCTTGGCGCGCGCTGTTTGAGGCATCTTGCACGTGTCGCTGAACGGCTGCTCCCATTCCGTTGAGCAAGCACTTGACAACCGTGCCTTATGCAGTCACCACTATAGGCATGCAATGCAGGGAACTAGTATATGGATCTGAAAACATTAAAGTTGGCATGCTGTCATGGCGCTTAGTATCAATGGGCAAAGCTGGATTATTTGCGAGTCGCATGAGTAAAAGTGAAACAAGATATTTCAGCATAAGACCAGGGTTAGGAAAGATTTATCTTCCTATTAAAGGCCTTCACAGTCTATGTTTGTAGTCCAAAATGTATTATGACAATAACAGCATTTGCCGCTTCAAAAGGTTTGAATGTACCTGTTCAACCTTCTCTCACTGAGCGAAAGACACCACATCAGACAGATTCTTTACTTTTTGAAGCCCTGAAATCGTTTCACATACGTGAAAGGACTGAAAGCAATAACAGGCATTGGTTGTAATGACATATACAATGTTATCGTGTGACTCAGAGCTCCGAGGAATGTCAGTCACAGCCTGAAATGCTTTCGCGTTGGTTTGTGGGTGAATCCAGACGGCTTGTCATTCTGTTCTGTTAATTTCTTTGTGTAGTTGACGAGAAGAATTCGCAGGAATTTTTCAGAGATCAGATGTGCTAAGCATTTGGCATGACTCCGGTCAACACCTTCTGGGTAGCTTAGGAGGGGTGAATCTTCTAGATGTGGCTCAACTATTAGCTGCAAGGCTTCGAGAATCTTTGGTCGTGGGAGAACTTTGACCACCTTTTCAAAAAAAGTCGAAATTGTTTGCAGGAGAGCTAGAAACTCAGGCTTCGGATAGTGAAGTTCACAATTTTCTTGTGCGCTCAGAAGTTTGTACAGAGGACTGCTAGTCTTGTATGTCGTCACAAGCATGACGCAAGCGTGACATCCAAGATCACTGACAAGTTTGGCAAGATATCCACCTACTTACATTAAGTCTGAATAAGCAACAGACGCAGGCTGTGCTGAAAGATGTGCTTTCAGAGCTTTCAATTCTTGAACTTCATCTTGAGGAACAGAGGTGGCCGCTTCTTCTGCATCTTCATCTTGTACAGCGACTCCTTTCGATGGCAGGGCTTTTTTCTTTACTATGTGGTCCAAAGCTGTTGTAACGGCTCTTGCGTACAGCGCGTCGTTACCTCCGCACATAAAGCGCAGTTGTCCAAACAATGCCTCAATGGGATCACTTTTGAATTTTCTAGTCAGAACGTAACTGACGCCTTTTCTCAGTAGAAACCTGGTTACCTCCTTTGTGGATTTCGTGCTGAAAAGTAGGGCACTGTATGTTTCCTCAGTGAAGTTCCCAACACCAGTGGCAATGGAACATTCTTAAATCGTCTTCACGTAGTTGCAAAACTCATTTTGCAGCCACAGTAGTCTGTCATCGTTTTCTCTGGAGATGGGCATTTTGAAGCCACTTCCATTGTAGGTGGTGTCGTGGATGTCGAATCATTTCTTCATCACTTTCATGAAGTTGATCGTCGATGTTGCATCCCTGAAAGTGAAGAGAAGGGAGCTGACTCGCGAGTTCTGCTGGAGATGTTCCAGTGCGGCAGTGACTTGGGGCGAAAACACCTGCACGGCGCGTAGCACGTTCATTTTTTCTAGATTCGACGGATACAGATGTTTCCTTGTAAGATTTCTGGCCAACTTTATAGACGTGTCCTTCTGGTGCTCCTAGAGTTTCTGGGCAAATGTTCCACCGATGATGCCAGTGCCGTCTGTGAGCTCCCGTTCCAAAAATTGGCTGCGGACATTCTTGAAAACATGGCTAGGATCGAAGCTTAAAAAAATTTCTCATTCATCGTCGTGAGGATGCTTCACTATGGTTGACAAGGAACCATTCCCCATGAGCTTGAACATTGTTCTGTTCACTGAGTAGTTATCGGTAACTATTCGAATCACCACAAAGCTGCATTCCTCAGCTGCAGAGATGACATCCTTCGTCCACGCATACAAGTCTCCCGCTCAGCTGCTTGGTGAAGTAGTACGAACATGGTATCTTGTACGAGCTCGCCACTCTGGGGAGCACAAAACACAGGACTCGGTTTGCAAGAGGTTCGTTCTTTGTACGTGGTGCACCGCTTTCTGGCTTGTCTTTGATCCCACATACTACATCGGACTTCCGGTCGTATATGCACTTTGGCTTTATTGCTGCTTCATCGATTATTAACGAAGCCATGTGCTGTTTGTGGCTGAGAGAAGAAGCCTCGTGAATGAGCCTTTCTTTCATGGCGCCACTCATTCCAGAAGAAGTTAAGCTGGGACCTACGTAGCGCTGCAGTGTGCACTTATGTGGCAGTGTCAGCAGGTTAGTCCAGGCATGATCGTAACCTTTTGGCGGAAGAAAGTGCCATATGACACACTCTCTTATTACTTCTTCGGGATAAGGCTGGAATTTCTTCTGGTATCCGTCAAGCAGGAAGACAGCCTTTTTCTCTCCCTTTTCAGCGTCTGAAGCAATATTTTTCAAAGCTGAGTAGCGCTTGTCGTCACGATATGAGGAGATTACCTTTCTCTCTGCTTCTAGTTGCTGCTGTGTTTTTGAGCAACTGGAGCGATAGTACGCTACCTGCGAACGAAGTCTTGCTGTCATTAAAAGATATCGACTTGCTCGCTGCGCATCGTTGTTTATTGTTTGGGTACATATAGTAGCTTTCTGCTCGATTTCATCTCCCGGCGACTCAAGCACTGCATTCTCGCATCATTTTTTTTTGCTCTCAAATCTTTCTTTATTGCAAGTGCCGTCATGGCTACAGTCATTTGCCACGGAAGGGCCCAGAGATGTCCGCTGGTGATGGCACACCTGAGGGCACGGTTGTCGGTGAAAACCAAAGATGAGGGCTGTGCTAGGAGCGCCGCAAGGGTCCAGGCAGTCGCTTCCCTCAAGTAGATGCGGGGGTCCATTGCCGTCAGGATGGCGAGCGCGGAGGTCGGGGTCACCACACCGAGTCCGTTGTTTGAAGCGTCCGCAAAAAGAAAATGCACAGGCGGAGCGGGAACGAGCAGGAGGGTGTGGGGAAGACTTTGCCAAAGTTCCTTGAATACAAGAAGCCACACTGTGGGTGGCGGTGTGTCGGGGAGAGGCGCGTAATCCACTGAGTCCCAGAGGGGTAGTCGGTGGAGCAGGTCGTCGGGCAGGGTAGCCGTGGTCCGTCGTAACGGGGGGAACAAGTCACTCAGCGGCGTTGGGGACGTCGCGGGTGCGAGTTGCAGGCTGTCGTGGTCGGCCGCCACGGTTGGCGGTGCCTCTTCCTCTGTTGGTTGGCCTGGAGGGCCTGTCGGATGCTGGAGGGGGGGGCTGTGTAGCGGGGAGCGGGGCTCCCAAAAGGTAGGAGGCCGTAGGGTCAGCGTACCCCTGGAGGGCGGCCTGCCATCCAGTGAGCGCAACGTGATAGGGGAGGCGCACTCTGTCGAAGACTCGGAGCTTGGCGGAGGCACGGAGGGGGGGGTTGGAATCCCAGACCTGGAGGAACAGCTCCAGGGTCTGGAGCTCGACCACGTCTCGGGTCCCAAAGAAGAGGGACTGGCGGCTGGCTCGGTCAACATACAAGAGGGCGTTGCGGAAGTCCCGACGTGTCGGGGGGTCGTGTGTCGTGAAGAGTCTTTGCCCACGGCTGCCTGTTGGGGCACGGGAGGAGTTGATGTGGCGTGGGTAGTGGCGGTCCCGCCGGGGCGGGGTGTCGCCGCTGCTGCTGGAGCTGTGATCCGAGTCGTTTGGGATACGGGCTCGGTACCGGCCGGCCGGGTCCTGGCTGGAAGGATATCCTCGGAAGATGAGGTCCTCCTCATCGTCATCGGTCGTCTCTCCAGGGATGGGCTGAGCCACCTCGGTGATACGAGTACGTCGGGTAGGAGGCGCCTCCGGGAAGGCAGCCCTAAGGGCGAGCGTGAGTGCGGAGACGAGCTCCTGGGTCGCCGGCGCCGGGGTGCCGGAGGGTCTGGAGGCCACCGGGTTGGATGGCGGAGCGGGTACCGAGCTAAAGGGGACCCTACTCGTAGGGCCAGGCGGCGTAACTGCTGGCAAAGGGCTTCCATCCTCGGGTGCTCCTGTGCGGGATGTAGGTGGGCGGGCTGACTGAGACCGGAGGGATCTCTCGTTCTTTCTTGGGGGCATCGGATAACTGCCGCACGTAGTCTTGAGGTCATTAGCAAGTATTGAGCTTGCTAATGCTATTCTAATTAGAAGAAAAAAAAATTAAAGGCAACGAAAGAATAAAGAATACTTCCTCATTGTCGTGTGTTCTCAACTATAGATCTACCTGCGGACTGGGGTTTGAGACTTCGGGCTCAGTGTCCTAGGGTAGGTAGTACTGTTCTGTGGTGATACTTTGAGCATCTGTGTGCACTGGACGGAAAATAATAGAGGCAAAACTATTAGATGCTTGCCTGTGGAAGGGCGTACAAGCTAGAAATGACCAAGGTTGAATAGCTACCTTCTCAGGGCACAGCGTCAGAGTCGAAGCGGTTTGTCGGAGGCTCCAGCAACGGTCCGGTGAAAGCTGTCAACCTTTCAGTTGTTCTGCTGAGAGGCATTGGGCAGGGTCCTCCAACAGTGGCCCTTGTGGCCAGCCGGTTGGTGGCCAAGTCTTTCCGGGCCTTCCTCTTTATGTTTTCCTAACATTTTTTCAGTTGATGCACCTCTCGTTCAGCACCCATGACAGCATTGAGTTTGAGTGTAATTCGGTCCCATACCCGGTTTTTGGTTTTCGTAGTTATCTTGTCGGTTGTTTTTCTCTCAAGAATGATCTTAAATTCTTTCACTAGATCTAATAATGCATCCTTCTCACGTTCAATGAAATTTGAAGCCCGGTTACGCGTTGTTTCCTTCATCTCAAGTTGGAAAGCATGAAGTGAAAACGATTCTCAGTGGCAGTCGTCTGCTGGCATTCATAATAAACTACACATTAACAAATGTACAGATCTTTCGTATTTATTTAAAGCTTTCAAATAAGTTTTTGTCATATTGACGAAAGTCGGTATCAGAGTTGTTCGATCAAGCAATGTTTTATCTGCTACTCACCAGAGAAAAACAGTGAAGAACAACTGCCGGTGCCCACTACCATGACAAAAATGTTGTTTACATCCTGCGATTCCTCTCCGTCAATCATATTTGTCTCTCCGAGCGTTCCCTAGTTCACTCTGTCTGCCCCTACATTCCCTATGCAAATCCGTTTAGCTAGGTGCGTATCTGTGAACTCGAGTTAATGTTGGTGCAACCGGAATTTAAGCCCGTGCTTAGCAGAGCTCGGTTTGGGACGCTAAGTCGACTTAGAAAAGAGCTGCTTTGGGTTAAGGGGGGACACTACTTAAAACAGTAAATTTTTGAACCACTTGTCCGATTTAAATTATATTTACGCTGCTTATTTTTGGTGATGTTGAGAACATTTCTACCAATTTTTGTTAACCTGGGTGAAGTACAAAAAAAATTGCAAACGTTCAAAGACGAAAGTGGGCGTGTCTGCTTAGAAAACTATCGTTTTGAAATTACTTATAAATTTGTTGTTTTCATGTGTTACATTACATTGGGACAGTTCAAAGCAGATAACTATGGAGCTATATTTCTATGTTATACCATCTTTCATGATAAAAAAGCCACATAAACACAAATAGTTTTTTTAGATTTCCATCCTTTGTCCAAACTTTTAGTTCTTGAGCTTGAAAAATGACAAAAATAAAAAAATACAAGCTCATAGTTATCTTCCCCTTAAAATTTCACCCCAGAAAAATTCATAAAAATGAATCCAAGTTGCGTAATAACAAAACGATAGTTTTCTTAAAGTGAAATTTATGCCAAAAAGTGGAATGGAGAAAAATGCGTTCAAAGTGCTCCAACCTCTACCTTTTCTTTAGCATTGGAGCACCGAAAATAATTTATAAAAAATTAACTATGCAGCGTAAACTAATGAAACTTTCTGGGAATACTCTCTAGATGTTGGTGGATCTAAATATGACATTTTTCAAAATCAACTTTTTTTTGCAGAAATTGTTTTTTCTGGGTAGTGTCCCCCCTTAAGATAAGCGACGTTGGTGCAACTAGGGTGCCTACATGTTTCCGCCGCTCCGCTGTTTAGGGGGGCGCAAACGTTTGTGATACCTGTTGCCGACAAACCAGTGTTGCCTACCTCGTTACCATGGCAACCTCCGCTGTTTTCGTCGACCATTTTGTCACACTCGCCGGTCTTGAGCTTCCATTAAGCTGTTAATCTCATAGAGATCATACATAATAACTGTAGAGGAAAAGGTGTGCCATTTTTCCATGCAATCTGGCTGCCGCAAGCGGCGGAGCATGCAGGCAGACCTTCGGGGTCCCTCACATGGTTACCAACTACGTATCTTCGATTTCATGAATATAATTATATCATCGGAGCACTTTCGTGAACTTCAACAATCCACAAACTTACCAGTGGAAAGAGGTTCTCGTTCCTTCCGAAGCTTTCTTTTTGCATAGCGCGCAGATGTACGGCCTCGCGTCAGCACTAAACTAAACCAGATAGCGGGCCTCGTGGGTGGGGCGCGAGTGGGCGCGCCCCAGGAATACAAAACCGCGCAATCGCCGGATTTCCGAGATTTCGACAGAAGGGAAGTTAATGCAGCGTAATGTGTCTATTGCTCTTTATAGGCGTTAGAATAGCTCAGAATATAGCTTACAACGTTAAATTATCACTGTTTATATTGCTGAGAGTTTTCAGTCTTCGCGATTACCATTGCGACTGTCGTCCTTCAGCTGGCAACAATGGTTTCTTTTTCTCGTATTCTGTCACTCTCTTTCGCAATCTTTCACTCGGGATCCCGGATGTCGGCACACGGGATTTGCCACTCCTCCTCACCCACCTTTATGCCCGGGCTAATCCTCGTTAAGGCTAGGGAGCGCTCACTGCTCTCGTTCAGACGGCAAGGTTTCGGTGTTCAATGCTGGTCTGTTACGTTCCAGTTTGTCGCGGGAACTCGCGTTTTGTTAAAAGCAACGCAGACTTCCCGCTCGCAACTTCAAAATCTAAAACACCCGAATAAACAGAGCGACAGCCACCACGACGGCCATCCTGCTGAGCTTCCAACTCCTCTTATGAACGGAAACGGAAGTGGCCTCCCAGTGTTGCCGGTGTTGCGAGACTACAGAAACTCAACGTTGTTTACGTTTAGCGTAATAAGAAGTGGAAAAAAATGATGGTGAGAGAGGATCTGGGAAAGGGTAACAAGAAGTTGGCGCCACCCTAAAGCGGAGCGGAAACATGTAGGCACCCTAGCTGCAACCGGCCCTTAGTGGTTGATCTCCTCTTGGTGTTTGTTCATGCCCACACCTGTCATGGCTGCGCTCCATTTTTGCTCAAGCTAGAGTTGTGTGGGCACACCAGAGCAGATGCGGTAGAGAAATCATTGAATCATTCACCGTGAACACTGTCCAAAATAATGTTTTTGCACCTTCACTACTTCTTTCTAAAACTGAAATCGAATTCTTGTTGCCAGAACTGGCTTAGTTCCATGTTCATTCTCCACCCCTGATGACATAGTTCTTATGGGAAATCATTCTTTCCTTCTTTATTTCTTATTGTAGTTAAACACATCTTATGTACTTTACTCTCCTTCTTCCCCATGTCCATTTCTCCCTTTTTTTTTACCGACGTAGTGGGATTGCAGGGAATGTGTTTGCAATCATTATTTTGTTGCAACATGAACTACAGTAACAATTGGAGAAATGATGCAGAGGCATTCATTTCATATAATTGTATTCACCTCAAAGGCATTGAAAGAGGCATTACATCACGGGGATTTAAAAATAAGACAAAAAAGTATTTGAACATAAAAATAGACACCAACAAAAAAAAAATCTGACAAAAAAAAAAAAACTCTAATTAGCATGTTATTGTTATGATGCAGTTTTACCGATCAAGGTTCAGGTACACAAATTGATGGACTTCTTTTTAAATGAAAAGGGGATATCTCACAGTTACAATATGGCCAGGTAGTTTGTTCCAGTCAGTGTTGCAAAGTACTGAGGAAGAAAAGAGGAAAGTGTAAGTATGGGACTGAAATGGTTCAGTCATGCAGGACTTATCTAATATGGGTGATATAAAATTGGCAGCCCAGCAGTAAGTAGATTGAAAATCGGAATCTTAGTAATATACATCTTGAAAAAAACACAATCGGCTATTTTTCGTCTTTTTTGTAGATTAGGAAGATTTATGCTAGCTTTTAAAGCGGAGACATAAGTTTCGGATAATGATCACTGCATATAAATCTGGCTGCTTTGTTCTGAAGATTCGAGCCTCAAGATTAGGTAACTTGGGTGTGGATTCCAAATTATGCTTGCATATTCTAATATTGGGAGGATAAATGTTTTGTATGCAAGTAGTTTTGTCTTAATGGGATCAAGGTGTCCAATAAACACATATGAATCGTACAGCAAGATACATAAAATCATATAAGAGCCCTATAAAAACTATGTAAGATATATAAGAACATATAAGAAACTTGTAAGAAGTTTCTTGTATGGTTCTTATATATCTTATATTGTTGTTTTATGGTTATTATATATCTTGCATGATTCATGTGTTTATTGAACAGAAGAAATTTCTCATACAAATGGCTTTTTCACAAACCAAGTGTTTTTAGTGTGCTATTTGTTATTTGCTCAATCCATGATAATGAGTCTGTAAAATGCACGCCGAAATACTTTTAAGACAATGAGTGTTCTAGTGGTTGTGAAAGTAACGAGTACTGGGTTAGTGTTTTAGTGGAGGACTTAATTACGGACATTTTTTTGCATTTACATGTGTTAATGTTCATCTGCCATAGGGAACACCATGATATTGTATCTAAATCGTCTTGGACAATATTGTGATCACTATAGGTGTATTAATTTTCCGGTAAATAACTCGAGCGTCAGCAAAAAGTCTAATTGTCGATTTAATTGATGATGTTAGGTCATTGATATATATTAGAAACAATAGAGGCCCGCATACACTACCCTTAGGGACACCTTATGCAACAGTAACGGGACCGGAATCGCCAGACAAGTATAAAATTAATAAATTCTAAAATTGTGATGTGCTGGTTTGAAAAATGTATTACACATATGTATTGCACATAGTTTGAAAAATTTATTGCACATATTTTGAAAAACTTTTCTTAGACCTGTGATAAACCTGTATAGATTGGGAAGATCTTTCTAGTTTCCATCCTTGCTAGCTG